CACACAAGTGGCAGCATCGCTGGACTCAAGCGTGGCAACAATAGTGAGGTTGGCCCAGGATCAGGCAGTGTTTCGTTCTGCTGTGCATAAGGTCGTTGTGAGTCAGTACTGACTTGATGGCACCTATCAAACAACAAAAGTGAAGATAATCGGCAGTTCAAGCTCACCAGCAGCTCCTCTGAAACCCTATACAGGGTCATTATGAGTTGGAACCAACTCAACGGCACTTCACAACACAACAACAACAACAACAAGTGAAGTTAGTCAGGAGCTTTGGTAGTGTAGTAGTTACAAGTTGGGCTAAACTACCAGTTGCTCCGAGGGAGAAAGATGAGGCTTTCTGCTCCTGTAAAGATTTACAGCCTTAGAAACCCTATGCAGGGTGACATGAGTCGGAACCGACTCCAAGGCATACCACCACCATCATCACCACCACCTGTGAAATTAATTAGTCAGTCACTGTCCCCACCCCATTTTCTCAAGGTCAAACTCATTTTCTCTTTTTTTTCAAAAGAGCTGCAACTTTTTAGATGAAAGCATTTACAAAAGTTCTGACACTTTAAATGACACCAATTTTTTACTTGTTCTTTCCCATCTAAGCAAATATCAACATGAGCAAGACAAGCAAACTTTAATCAAAACACTCATGCCTGTTTAGAGAGCTTTTAAGCCGTTCTGCGACAGAAAGATGAGGCTTTCTGGTCCTGTAAAGATTTACAGCCTCGGAAACCAAACCCTGTGCAGGGTCACATGAGTGGGAACCGACTACCCAGTAGTTAACAACAACAACAATCTTTAGAGACACAAACCGAAATATCTACAGATTATGTGTTATGTCTGGGAACGGCTTCCAATTATTCAAGATGGGAGATGAAAAAAATTGGCCAAATGTTGTTGAGGCTGGGTACGTTTTGTGTTCCTGTAATAAAAAGTTAACAAGTACAATGAAGCATCTTGTGATAATGACTGTCATAATTCATTACCATCTCAACTTTAATAGTATTTTGAACTGCAAGGTTGGTAGTTCAAGCTCAACAGCCGCTCCTCGGAAACCCTATACAGGGTCACTATGGGTCAGAACCAACTCGACGGCACTTAACAACAACAACCAGGGCTTCAAACTAATCCATTCTGGTTTCACTGCTTGCTGAGAATTTGCTTTCCTACGCAAAGATTTAAAGCCTCAGAAACCCTATGCAGGGTCACTATGAGTCAGAACCAACTCCATGGTACAGCACCACCACCACTCTCTAATATGTTGTTATGTGGCAAATGTTGTTGTTGTTAAGTGCCGTCAAGACGATTCCGACCCATAGCGACCCTGTATATAGGGTTCCGAAGAGCAACTGGTAAGCTTGAACCACTGAATTTGTCCTCAAAATTCTTTGGTCTGGCCCTGCCAAGGCAACTGTAGTACCAGCTCATATTGTTGTTAAGTACCATAGAATCAGTTCCCACTCACACAGACCCTGTCTAGAGTTTCTGAGGAGTGGCTGGTAAGTTTGAACTGCTGACTTTGTGGTTCACACCAACATTGCAATCCAGTGCTTATCCCACAGCACCACCCCAGGACTCCATCACATTGTTGTTAAGTGCCTTCAACTCAATTCTGACTCACAGTCACCCTGCATAGGGTTTCCAAGGAGTGGCTGGTGGGCTTGAACTGTTGACCTTTCAGTACAGAGCATTATCCTGCAGCAACACACCAGAACTCCATCACATTAGCAAAGAGTGACTCCCTGTGTGGTGCTGTACAATCAGCTCTGGATTGTGAACCAAAGGTCAGCAGGGGAATTTTTAAGTTGATAATTTTGTATTATCAGAAAACGAACGATGCTATTAATTTTGGCAGAATAAAGGTTCCCCACCCCTGTTCTAGACCTGCTGTGGCGCTGTGGGTTAATGCACTAGACTGCAAAGCCGTTTGAACTGCAAGGTTGGCGGTTCAAGCTCACCAGCTGCTCCTCGGAAACCCAATACAGGGTCTCTATGGGTCAGAATCAACTCGACGGCATTTAACAACAACCCCTGTTCTAAAAGATAAAAGAGACTCAGGTGATGTTTATAAATCCCCACGTAATAATTATAGATCATTTGGGGGATCATGATGAAATGTAGGTTCTGATTCAGTACATCTGTAGTGGAAAGGCACAGTCTCAGCAAGGAGATGAAATAGAATGAACTGGTTCAAAGCCCCCTGTTGTTAGGTGCCATTGAGTCTGTTCAGACTTATGGCAGGCAACCCGGTATAGGGTTTCCGAGGAGCAGCTGGTGGGGTTGAATCGCTGATCTTGTTTCTCCCAAAGAGTGGCTGGTGAGTTAGCAGCCCATTGTTTGCTCACAGCACCAACACAGCTCCTTGTTATTGTTGTTGTTGAGTGCCACTGCATCAGCTCCAACTCACATTGACGCAGTATAAGGTTTTCAAGGAGCAGCTAATGGGTTTGAACCTTGCAGTTAGCTATCCAGTGGTTATCTTACAGCCCCACACCAAGACTCCATTATTGAACTGTTGAATCGGTTCCAACTCATAGCAACCCTATACAATGTTTCTAAGCAGCTGTTAGTGGGTTTGAACTGCCCAAAACTTGCAGTTTAAACGGACCTGACGGTCCAGAGGTTATCGTACCGGGCCACACTAATTCTCCTTTTGTTGAGCGTCTCTACCTTAGTTCTTACTCCATACTTCAGTTGCCATTATATAACCCAGGTCTTCATTTACTGTCTTTGTCTGCAGCCAACTTCTAAAAGCCTCAATACGGTTCTCAGCAGGAGTACTGCTGGCATTTTAGCTGGGACAATTTGTTGTGTCAGAATGCCTAACACTGAAAGTCATTTGGCATCTCTATAAAGCTGGCACTAAATGCCAAGACAGGAACACTACCACTGTCCCACTGCTATAGCCAAATTCCCACACACATGTATTTCCTAATTCCACTCACCATGGAGATCCACTTCTAACCCGAGATGTCAGATACATTTTCCCAATTTATCTAAGTAACTGTAATGGCTCCAACTGCCTCTAAAGGGAGTCTCTTCCTTCATTCAAATCAGCTGTGGCTTTTCCTGGTCCTAGCCCACCTTTCACCACAATAATTACCCTCCCAGTCATTCAGGCCCGTCTCATCACCCACCTCACGCTTGTTCCTACTTCAACATACATCCTGTTCTAGGAAAATCTTTCCCTTTCCTTCCAAGTCAAATCCATCCCCCCATTCAATTTTGTTTACCCTCAAGTATCACCACGATTTTCCAATTCTCTCTATGAAAACCACACTTTCTTAAGCTTTGGTGGCTTTTGGTGGCTGCATTCTCTCTGCCTTAAAATGTCCCTCCATTCTCTTCCAAAATTGTACTTACCTATGGACTACTGGTGTGGCGCTATAGGATCAACACTGGACTGAAAACCACAAGGTCGGCAGTTCAAACCCACCAGCTGCTCCTCAAAAACCCTACACAGGCTAGCTGAGCTGGAACTGACTCCAGGCACTTAACAACAACAACAACAGCACGTAAGCCCAACTCCAATGTCAGACCTTTGTTAAACATTTTCGGACCAGCTCTCTCCATCAAAACCAACTGTTTCCTGTGGTTTTCCTAACACTAATCACAATGATATGGCGCTCAGGTAGCATAATGGTTACAAATCGGGCTGCGAACCCGCAAAGTCAGCAGTTCGAAACTACCAGCTGTTCCGCGGGAGAAAAGATGAGGCTTTCTGCTCCCGTAAAGATTTACAGCCTCGGAAACCCTATACAGGGTCGCTATGAGTCGGAACCGACTCCACGGCACATAACAATTCACAACGATACCCCAGTATTTGACACACTTTGTTGTATAAAACTCTTTCCCCATAAAAACAGGAATGCTTTTCCGAGTTTTGCAACAACCCATCCTCAAGCAGAGCACTGTGTACTATCCTTAGTACACCATTAGGTTGTTCTGTGCTCACATCTTCTCCCCAGATCTTCGGACGACCACTTCAAGGTTAATTACCCTAACTGCAAGGGTCATGCAAACTCCCAACTGTGCTTAAGTACCAGGCTTCCAGGAGGCTTTTTATCGGAACCTAAGTCACCAGAATTTGTGGGGTGGGTTTTTTGCCATATTTAAAGAAGAACACGAAATCACACCCTGGATTCTGCAGTTAGGAGCAATATCAGAAATCGATTTCCCAAGGACGAGCCTCGCCATATGTTTCCACCAAGAAACTTACTCGACGCTTCAATTCTTCGGCCGAGCCCACTATCTTGGGTTTCTATGGAGCTTTCAGGTTTCAATGAATGAGAGCTTTACTTCGGCTTTGTGACATAAAATCATCTTTGGGGGCAATACACTCGGATACGTATCTCCTTTCCCCTATTAATAACGTTGAAGGCTCACACTAAGGATTTACAGCCTCCACGGCCCACCACCCTACCACCACCTGCCGCAGTACAATGCGCCTTACACAAACAGTAGCGCGAAGCCAGGTCAGGGAAAAGGGGAGAATTCAAGCCGTACGGAAGACTGAATTCCAAACTTTTCCCTTCAGTCAATTTTGCCTGGAACACAAACTTAAAAAAATAAATGAGCTAATAAGCAGGGCTGAGGGAAATCGACCTGGAGAATGAGACGTTAAAACTTGAGGGCCTTTGCCCTTCCCCGCCTGGGCTCAAACAACAGCCGGGGGACGACCTGCCTCGCCCGGGTCCCCAAACTGCTGCGGTCGGCCATGGCGACCCCGCGAAAGCTCCCAAGCCGAGGCGCGGCGACGGGGGCCGGCAGGGGTCAAGCTGTCCAAACCCAGCCCCGCGGGAAGAGCCGGAGAAACGCGCCCTCAGCCTCCTCCCACTGCAGCCTCGAGCGGCGCTGGCGGGGCTGGGCCGGACCACCGGCTGGGGGAAGGGGAGGGCTCGCGGCACCCGCACACCCGGGGGGCCTCTCAGGGGCCTGGCGCCCCTTTGTCCGGGGACTCGAGGCGCCCCCTTTCCGCCCGCGCCCGGAGCCGGCCCCCTCACCGTGATGTTGCAGTGGAGAGTGAGCGGCGGTGGCGGCGAGTGCGGGCTGGCCGGCGGCGCCGGAGGCGGCACCAGGAACTGGCAGTGCAGCTCATCCAGCTTCCAACTGACGATGCGGAATCGCTCGTGGTTCTTGTCGAAGATGGACGCCAGGAACTTCAGTTCAGCTTTAAGCCCTGACACGGACATCTTCCCCTCATCTCCAGCAGGAGGGTGCGGAGGGGGAGCCGGGCCGAGAGCAGCCGTCACAGCCGCGACAGCCCCACAGGGCCGGCACGGGCCGCGCTCTCGCGGCTCCACTTCTCTCTGCAGCCGCGACCCGCGTCCGGTCGGGGCTGAAAAATGGCGGGGGAGGGGGGACCGTCGGAGGAGGCCGTCGAGATCTGAGAGAGAGGCTGTGCGGCGGTCGGAGCTGTGTCGCCTTTCCTAACCAACTCCTCAGACTGAAGGCGGTGGTGGCGGCCCAGCGGCTTAAAAGGGCAACAACGACACCGCCCCCACTACCGCCTGGGAAAGGGCAGCCCCCACCCCGCCCCCATCCCCTCCCCGCCGCGGCGCGCCCTGCGCGCCCCCGCTACAGCGTGTGCACGCGGCAGGGGGCGCGCGTCCGGCCCGCCCCCTTCTCGCAGCGACCCAGCCCCCGTCCGCCGGGCCCATCCGCTCCGTTCGGGGCGCCGCGGACCCCAGGTTCTGGGCCAGCTGACACCCCGACCTTCATCATCGGGAGAAGCCAGGGCCGACCCCCGCTCGCCACCTCCCACAGTCTGAAGCCAAACACAGGCGCTGCGGATCACGTTAGTCACGTCGGCGCGCCGGCATGGCGACCTTTGGGGGCGGCTCCTCAGAGTGACCCTGGAGAGATGCAAACTGCGGGCAGCACCTTGTTCCCCTCTAGGCCCACCCAGCTTTACCTCAGCTTCTCTCACCCTCGTCTGAACCACGATTCCCTGTAACCAAGGTTCCTGTTAGGACCTTCTAACCGGCTTGCTATCAGTCCATTTACCAAAGATGGTGATTTGACCCCTTCAGGCAGCTCCCTCCCACTTTCCCCATAACCACTACCTCTGTTCACTCTGGACATCTTTGTGTCTGTCCTGCTGGAAGACTTTGTCCTGTTTTCCAGGGTTGAGATAACCCACTAAACCTCACCCACTTGCCTTAGAGGCAGAGCTGGGTTCTTTCCATCAAGATCTTAGCTCAAATGTATGTCATCTCAGAGAGGGCTTCCTTGACCATCCAATCCAAAATGGCCACCCAGTCACCTGGTATCACATCAAAAAAAATGTGTCTTAAAGTGATTTGAAAAATGAGGAAAGGTACTATTTCACATAATAGGAAGTTGAGAGACAGGACGGACTCCTGGATTCATTGGTTTGAGCCGCAACAATATCCTCAAGGGCCCAGGTTCTTTCCATTTCTCTGCTCCGCTTTTCAGGCTTAGAGCAAGGTGGCTAGTAGTTATCCTGGGAGTCAAATTCAGACATGACTATCTAGAGACAGAAAGGGCTATTTCTTCCTGTATAAGTATTTCCTTCTAAGATACGGAAATCTTTTGAAGCATCATCCCAGCGTGTGTTGTTGGCCAGAAGTGTACCACACTCCTAAACAAATCACAAGTAAATGGATAGTATCACTCTGACTGGATTGCCAGTCATCTGAGATGGAATGAATGTTGAGGAGTCCACTACAAAGTGTATTACAGATAACCTTCAATAAAGACAGTACCAGATCACGTGTAGAAAAGGTTCAAAATTTCCTAAATATCAGGGGAAGAGGAAAACAATTCTGGAAAATGCTTGCATAAAAACAGGGTCATGTTCAGGGAACATCCAAGAGCCCCATTGATTATACCGTACAGGAAGAGGCCAAAATGGAGATAAAGCTGATCAATTAATTTGAGACCAGATTTCGGAACCCTGAAATATCATGCCAGGGACCATAGTTGCATTTGGTGAAAGTCATTATTTTTAAGATAGGCGTTAGTACACAAAATGGATCGCAGGGGGTTTAAACCTGTTAATTAGACATGAAGAGGAGGCAAGACACCCAGCTTCTAGATCTGCTCTGCCATGAATAAGTAAAGTCACATCCAGCTCAGAGTCTCTAGCTACAAATGGTTTGGGGATTAGTTAAAATAAAAAAAATAAATAAAAAAAAAACAACCTGAAGTGGGAAGTAGTGAAGCCACACTGATTCTGGTGACATATCTGAAGTAGAGCCACTCGATTTTGGAGATGATGTGGGGATAGAGGGAAAGAGACAAGAAGTGTGTTGGTGTTAAAGTAACACTTTGAAGTTTCTAGAGCAGGGAACTAGAGGGAGTACCATGGACACAGCAGGGAAAGATGTTACGATTGGGATGCTGATGGGACCCTTTGGTAGAGAATGTGGACCATAGGCTTGAGGCTTATAAGAGAAGTCAGACAAAGGACATGCCATTGTGGTCCAGCCAGGATGGCAAAAGCCATGGGTGTGGGTGTGATCGTTGAGTCACAGAGGAAAGGAAGGCAGCCTGGGCCATGGAAGCGACCCTGCACATCTCAGTTCTCTAGTCCTGCTATAACAGGGATACCACACGTGGCTGGCTTTAACAAACAGAAATGTATTTTCTCACAGTTTAGGAGGCCAGCAGTCCAAATTCAGGGTGCCGGCTCTAAGGGAAAGCTGCTTCTCTCTGTTGACTCTGGAGGAAGGCCCTTGTATGTTCAGCTGCTGCTTCTTGGTTTGTTGGAGACGTCCATGTGTTTTGGCATCTATGTTACCCCATCTCTGCTGTATTCTTGCTTTATTAAATCTCTTTTATATCTCAAAAGAGATCGACTAAAAACACTCCCTACACTAATCCTTCCTCATTAACACAGCTAAAACATCCCATTCCCAAAAGAGATTATAGCCATGTTGTTGTTGTTATTGTTAAGTGCCATTGGGTGGTTCTGACTCACAGTGACCCTGTACAGGGTTTCTGAAAAGCAGCTTGTGGGTTTGAACCATAAACCTTGTTTGCAGTCCTCTGTTTATCCTACAGCGCCACACCAGGAGTCTACCATAAGTATGTTGTTATTACGTGCTGTGGAATAGGCTCTGACTCATAGTGACTCTGTACAGGGTTTCCGAAGAGTGACTGGTGGATTTGAACCACCAACCTTGCAGTTAAAGCCTACTTTTCTGTCCAATTCGTTATCCTGCAGTTAGCCACACCAGAACTCCACCATAGTCTGTTGTTGTTGTTACATGCCATCAAGTGGGTTCAAACCCACCTTGAGGTTGAGGTTGGTGCTTATCCTACGGTACAACACCAGGGCTCTCACCAGAGGCATGGTGGTGGTGGTGGTGGCGGCGGTGGTAGTGGTAGTGGTGGTGGTGGTGCTATGCCTTGGAGTCAGTTCTGACTCATAGAGACCTTACGGAGAGTTTCAAATTCTGTAAATCGTTACAGGAACAGAAAGCCACATCTTTTTTTCCCCCAGAACAGATGGTAGTGAGGTTAGCAGCCCAATTCATAACCACTTGTGGCACTGTGGGTTAATGCTCAAGACCGCAAAGCCGTTTGAACGGCAAGGTTGGCGGTTCAAGCTCACCAGCTGCTCCTCAAAAACCCTATACAGGGTCGCTGTGGGTCGGAATCAACTCAACGGCACTTAACAATAACATGCCACTATGCTACCAGAGGTGTCCTGGTGTGGCGCTGTGGGCTAATGCGTCAGACTGCAAAGTCATTTGAACTGCAAGGTCGGTGGTTCAAGCTCACCAGCTGCTCCTTGGAAACCCTATACAGGTCGCTATGGGTCAGAATAGACTCGACAGAATTTAACAACAACGTGCTACCAGAGCTCCTTACCAAAGGTGTGTTGTTAAGTGCGATCGAGTCCGTTCTAACTCATAGTGACCTTGTATCAGGTTTCTGAGGTATAGCTGATGAGTTTGAACTACCAACTTTGCGGTTCAAACCGACCTTGCAGTTGAATACTTATCCTACAGCTTCACACCAGGACTCCTACCAGAGGCATAGAGGTTAAGAATTACAATATATATTTTGGGGGAACTGAATTCAATCTATAACACTGAGGAAAGCTAATCATTGGGGGTTGAGTAGGAAAGGAGTCATTGAAGCAGTCCGAGGATGATCCATTGGTGGAAAGGACGAGAAAGATCATGATGAACAAACAGCCATGACTTCAGGGTTTAGATGATCAAAGGTGTTTTCAGAGAAAATCATTGCAATAGTATGGTAGGCATGGGGTCAAAGTGACGTGGAAATGCAGATAAAATGTGTAGATTACTTCCTTGAAGGGTTCCAGAGTAACAAAGAGATGGAATCGTAATTTATAACCACAAAGTACAGGAAAGTTTCAGGATTTGTCTTTTGTTTTTATTATAGGACAGTCAGCCAGAAGAACAAACATCTGCTTTGGAAGAAGTATAGCCAGAATGATCCTTAGAAGAGAAGATGGTGAGACTTCGTCTCTTGTGCTTTGGGTATATTGTCAGGAGGGACTAATCCCTGCAGAAGGACATCGTACTTGGAAAAGTAGGGGGGTCAGTGAAAAAGAGGAAGACTCCCAACAAGATGGACTGGACAGTGACTGCAGCAACAGGCTCAAGCATTAACAACAATTGTGAGAATGGTCCAGGAACGGGCAGTGTTTCATTCTGTTGTGCAGAGCGTCACTATGAGTCGGAACTGACTTCACAGCACCCAACAACAACAGGCAGATGTACTGTGAAGCTAAGTAAGCTTCAGTGCCTCTCACTTGCACAAGCCTAATGTTTTAAGTAAATATTAACTTTTGTTCCTAATTTAATATTTGCAACTGTATATTCTTTTTCCTGAAGAATGCTCCCAAGAATGGACACGCCTCAGGCCCTGTAAAATATCTGCTCCTAAGGAGAGAGCCATTTATAGACACTGAAGATACAAGAGAGGAGATAAGGTACAGAATTAAGTCCTGGAAGAGGAGGGAAAAACAAGATGAGGAGTAACTCAAAGCAAAGAAAAAAATCCACCCTCCTCTGAAGACCAGAGCTGGGAGAAGAGAACGAGAGAAAATCCTAGCTCATAGCAACCCTATAGGACAGAGAAATACTGCTCCGTAGGGTTTCCAAGATTATAATTTTTACGACAGTAGATTACCTTGTCTTTCTCCCGTGCATCAGCTGGTGGGTTTGAACTGCTGACCTTTTGGTAAGCA